TACTGCATGCGAGATAATTTATAATATAACTTATGCTCCTGCCCACTTTTTAAAGCTATTGTTATCTAGCTATTGTAATCTTTGCCCTCCAAATGTCTTAAACCCCCCACCCCAAATACCAAATCTCACTCACAAGTTCAGTTTGTTTGCGTGAAATCTTTAAATCTCTGGAAATAAATAACACGGGAAATGAACAATAATCTAATACTGTGTATTCATAACACAAATAGGGATGAAATGATAGAAAATTTGCTTAATTTGAAACAAAAGTCTGGTACAAACATTTTGCTGTTGGTAGATGAGGTATGTCAGAGAAATCATACTAAAGGAGAATTTAATGCCACGCTGACAAGTGCAGACAATGAAGAGGCTGAGACAGTGATTGTGAATAAAATCACTGTCAGAATATATTCTTCAGTGTTGGCACCACTGATAAATGGCAAGTTTGTGAGCAGGTGTAGAAGTGAAGTATTTTTACTTTTATTTTTTATTTGAGTCCAAACTTTTACATGTAGCAGTTTGATAAATACAGGAGGTTTGCACGGTGGAACAGTGGTTGGCACTGTCGCCTCACAGCGAGAAGGTTCTGGGTTCTGACCCCTGGCAAATTGCCTTTCTGTGTGGAGTTTGCATGTTCTGCCTGTGCCTGTGTGGGTTCTCTCCGGGTACTCCGGCTTCCTCCCACAGTCCAAAGACGTGCACAGAGGTTAATTCGCGACTCTAAAGTGCCCATAGGTGTGAATATGTGCGCAAGTAGTTGTTTGTCTCTACATGTCAGCCCTGTGATAGGCCTGTCCAGGGAATACCCTGCCCTTGCCCAATGTCAGCTGGGATTGGCTCCAGCCCCCCCGTGTCCCTACAAGGATAAGCAGTATAGATAATGGATGGATGGATAAATACAGGCCCAGATACAGAAAATTGAAACATGACCACAATGACATCTTTTGCTGAAATGTCATGATGACCTTAAAAGAGGTTATTACTGACATTCACTTGTATGAAAAACTAATTTGGCTCACTCTTTAATATTTAATGATTTCCTTTAGTTGCCCTGTTTGAACCCTGAATGCAACTCTTTGAGGCAAATAATCCTAACATGTAGATTAATGTTTCTGTTTCTATCAGGAACCCCTAAAGGTTTCCACCACATCAGTGTTGTTCATTGCAACATGTCTGCATTCAGCTGAATTCAGCATTTGAAGAAAACATACAGTAATACAATATATCTACAAACCTGAGTTTTTCTGTACTGTCTCCCCACCAGAGAAGATATCATCTATATTCTCAGACAGGATTCCTTATCAAAACAGAGGTGACATCCTATCCTATTTTATCAACATGACTGATAAAAAAGATGTGTGTTTTAGTCCCATGATTATGGCCACTTTAGTGGGACAATAGAAGCAGTGCTGTATGTTTTGCACAGTATATGGTAGTTTAATACACCATATGTTTTGAATACGCTTTGTGTCGGATACAAAACACTGAGTATGATTTACTGATTTTGAAATACATGGTTTTTTACTGTTAATTTCTACTGTTTAATGTGACAGGACAAAATATGAAATCAGCATGTTCAATTGAAAAAGAGTAAGGAAAGACACAGCTTGCTAACCTGAATACTTGATCAAAAAAGTACTTAGTATCTTACTATCAATAATAATAAAATTGCAGTGAGGGGGAGTCTAGTGGTATGACTACACTATTTTTGTCACTTGCTGTGACTTTGTATGTATAAGTTAACTCTGTTGTCTGGTTGACTCTGGCTCAGTACATTGTTTTCTATTTCCACAGAGGCTGCATTACACAGAGGAGGAAATAAATTGGCAGCATTGCGACCGCATCCCAACAGATTTGTATTATGTGAATCAGAGGAGTGACTCACCAGTAAAATTGAATTATTCCACATTTTCTACGTCCCTCGTCCCCTGTTCTTTAGACGCTCTGCTGGTCCAAACCAGCAGCAGTGTGAACACAGTCTAGACAGCCTAGAACCTGGACGTACATGCTCTCATATTTGTCGTTTCACAAAATATTCTATTATCTAGTATCTGGTTCCCACAAGTTCTGTTTTCCACATGAAAGCATGAAAATAATAGATTGCAAAAACTATTTTTAAATGTATTAATTTGTAGTGAGTTTCAGGTCATTGTTTTGGTTCACTTTCACTATTTTCATAGCATAACATTTGTGGCCTGCTAAAAAGCCACCGCAGCACCAAACAGCAGTTAGCAACTAGCTGGTGGACGTAGTGGAGCATTTAGGAGTGGCTAAAGAGCCAGATATTTCCCTCAGGAGTTGGCAGTGACCAAAAACAGAGCTAAAAGAGTGTGAACATTATATCTTAGCTCGCTGGGTGGCCACAAACTCACATCCAAATGAATGATAATGTTGCTGAATGAGTAAATGAGAATCTGGTTGCTAACAAGTTTCACCATACAAACCTAAAAGGTGATGATATGTCAATGCTGTGTTTGCTCCCATGTGACAAAAATATCAGCTATTGCAAATTTAACATCTTGTTCTCACATTGCAAAAAATGCATAGGTATCTTGGGGCATCAGTATTGTCCTACCATTATGGCTCAGAAAACAGGGCTAACTTTTTATGTGAATTATTATAAACATTTTAATTATATAGAATATAATAATTATATACAATTTATGAATCATATTTAGAAACCTCCTCAGTGACTCTTTTGTGTAAAAATCCTGTGTTGTTTTTACACATTTTTAAAAAACGAATTTCTGATGCAGGACCACTGCTTTTCATTGATAACCGCAGATTTCACACTATTTTTCTCAGAAATAAAGTAAAGTTGCCTGTAGACAAAGCATGGTGGGAGAGCGCTCATGATTTGGTGATTTGGTTGGTGTTGAGGATGGATAGATAAACAGGTGGATGGACTTGTGTGTCTCCTCAGGTTGTGCCTGCTCTTCTTTATTGTACTTTTCAACATTTCAGTTTTCCATGATGCCTTTTGGAACCTGGGGCTCTTTGCTGTTTTTCAGTAGGGCCTCAATCACACAGGTTTTCTGAGGCCTAAAGCGATATCAGTATTTGAGAGTTTGAAAAAATGACAAATGATATTATTATTATTTTTAACATTAATGCATAACATAAATGAACTTTTCTGATAAGGGCACTTTAAAGCCCAATTGTGAACCAGAAATGTTCTGAAAGGCACATTTTATGGTGGAAAAATTGACCAACCATGTAATCACAACACTGTTTCTAAGGCCCTTTCCACATGGTAATTTTGAAAACGCTGCTGTTTCTATATGCGTTTTCCTCCACATGCAAACTCCATTTCAGGTCACTGAAAACAGACCTGTTGCAAAAGTCCGGCCACTCTGTTGTTTTCAGTGTTGTCATGTAGACGGGGAAAACAGAGTTCTTGGCTCGTAAGCTTGCCTGTAACATCATTGTCATGTTGTAACCAGAGCTGGTGATACCTTTTTACCTTATTGTTTTCGGGTTGTCTGTTCATCCGTTCTATTCCCGTGGACACAATATCTCAGTAACGCCTTGACATATCTTCTTCAAATTTGGCACAAACATTCACTAGGGCTCAAGAACGAACTGATTGTATTTAGGGCATCAGAGGACAAAGGTCAAGCTCACAGTGACATCACAAAACATAATTTTGGCCTGGTGAATGCGATATCTCCAGAACTCTTCAAGGGAATCCCTCCGAATTTTGCAAAAATCTCCAGTTGGACTCAAGGACAAACTGATTAGACTTTGGTGGTGAAAGGTCAAGGTCAGGATGACCTCACAAAACGCTTTTTAGCCATAACTCAAGACTTCACACAGCAATTATGACCAAATTTTGCACAAATGGTTAATATTTTATATGGTTCTGGAAAAACAGGGATGTGACCTGAAACTAGTCTGAGAGGCAGAGGCAGACAACCCTGAGATGATAATTCTAGTTTTTCGAGCGTCTGATTGGCCAACATAGCTTGACGATACGGTGATATCGCTGATTTCTTTGGACAACATCCATAATTCATTCTTGTCTTTTTCTGAAAGATTTCTTGATATTATAAAAATTTGTGCTACATTTGGATGCAAACTCGGCTAATGTGAAACTCGCAGTGATGAACCTACAGAGAATTATCTCCCGAATGTGCAGCTCCCGTCAGTTTTCTGGAGCTTTGTAGTGAGTTTCAGGTCATTGTTTTGGTTCACTTTCACCGCTTTCATAGCATAACATTTGTGGCCTGCTAAAAAGCCACTGCAGCACCAAACAGCAGTTAGCAACTAGCTGGTGGACGTAGTGGAGCATTTAGGAGTGGCTAAAGAGCCAGATATTTCCCTCAGGAGTTGGCAGTGACCAAAAACAGAGCTAAAAGAGTGTGAACATTATATCTTAGCTCGCTGGGTGGCCACAAACTCACATCCAAATGAATGATAATGTTGCTCTGTAAATGCTGAATGAGTAAATGAGAATCTGGTTGCTAACAAGTTTCACCATACAAACCTAAAAGGTGATATGTCAATGCTGTGTTTGCTCCCATGTGACAAAAATATCAGCTATTGCAAATTTAACATCTTGTTCTCACATTGCAAAAAATGCATAGGTATCTTGGGGCATCAGTATTGTCCTACCATTATGGCTCAGAAAACAGGACTAACTTTTTATGTGAATTATTATAAACATTGTAATTATATAGAATATAATAATCATATACAATTTATGAATCATATTTAGAAACCTCCTCAGTGACTCTTTTGTGTAAAAATCCTGTGTTGTTTTCACACATTTTTAAAAAAAGAAATTCGGGGATATTTTATGAGAAAAAAGAAAAGATTATGGGCCAAGTTCTCTCCACACTGGCATGTTGTAAAGGCAGGAGGAAATCAACGGCGGTCATGTGACTGAGGAGGGCGGGACTGTGCGTCTGTGCCGGCCAGTAGCAGCGCAGCGTCGGTCCAGGTCCCAGCAGCTCCGTGGGAGAAAAAAAAACCCAGAGAGAGGAGACGAATAACGGTACACTCCAATATTTATGGAGCCGATCCCCGCATTTAACCACACCGCGTCTGCGTCTCCTCCTGTGATGCATACATGAATAAATGCGTTTGGAAACGGACGCGGTCATCGGCGTTTTGGGGCTGACGAAAACAAGCGGTCCACCATTGTTTGCGTAGAAATAAGAATGGCCTGGATGTGGAAGGTAAGTGGGGGTTTCTCTCACACATACATCACAGTCAAAAAAAAAAAAAAAAAGGGGGGGAAAAGGGGGGAAAAAGCACACAGGCAGCTGACGTGGTCGCCTTTTAAGTCTATTCATTTTAACAGATGTGAGGTGAAATGTGAGCAGGGAGCTGTGGTGGTGGTGATGCTCCGTGGAGGTACTGAACCCTCCCCTGGTTTCTGGACGTTCGCCTGGTTTTGGGCTCTGAATTTGTGATTCTGGTTCGTGCACATGACAGGAAACACAGAGGAAACCGGGCCCTCGTGCTTGTGTGGTGCATTCAGTGTGTGTTTGTGTTTATTGCTCCTAGAGAAAGCAGGCATATGCAGGCCAGCCAGCCAACATCCCTCCTGACACGTTCAGGTGTTCACATGATGTGAGGAGTTGACAACACACAGACACCTTAAAGAGGTGTGTGAACAGACAAGGAGAAAGTTGACAAAAACTTCCTCACTGACTCCCACTCTGTTCCTCTTTTTCTATTTTCACTTCAATTCAGTTAATTTCACAAATTCACACATTTACAGATGTTGACATCAACAACGCTGCCAGATGTTATGGTATAGTTTTTCATATGTGACACAGAACAATCCACTTAGGATTAGTCAGGGCTGCAACAAATGATTACCTTCATTAAATTGTCCACAAAATGTCAGTAAATAGTGTAAAATGTCCCTCCCTAGAGTTCCCTAGACCTGAATATGACATCTTCAGGTAGTTTATCGTGTCTGACCAACAACCTAAAACTCAAAGATATTTCATTTGTTTTTCTCCATAAAATGTCAGAGAATAGTGAAAAATGTCCATCAGAGCTTCCTGGAGTTAAAGGTGACATCTTCAGTTAGTGTGTTATGTCTGCCCAGCCATCTCAGACCTGAATATATTCAGCTAACAATGATGTAACTCAGAGAAGTTGCCACAAGGGATTGACTGGCATTTATTCTTTAAAAATGACTTAAAATTTCTTTCTTAGTTAATCTTTTTGTATATGTAATAACAGAAAATGATGAAATATGTCAATTGCAGTTTCTCAGAGTTCAAAGTAATGTCTTAAAAATTGCCTGTGTTGCTGAACCAACAGTCCCAAAGCCAAAGATGGAGGATGTGATAGAAAACAGAGACAAGCAGCAAATCCTCATATTTGAGAAGTTGAACTTGGCAAATGTTTGGTATTATTGATTGAAAAATGACTCGAACAAGTAATTGTTTCAGCTATATTAATTTCTGGTTTGTCCGACCGTCATTCTAAAACCCGAAGATATTCAATTGACAATGATATAAAAGAGAGAAGCAAATCGTCACACTGGAGAAGCTGGAACCAGAGAACATTTGATTTTTTGTCTTGAGAAGTGACGTATCATACTTGTTGATGAACACGGAATGTTCTTTGTCAAACCAGTAGTCTAAAACTCTGAGATATTCAGTTTACAACCAGGTAATGGATGTAAAACGTTGTTTGCGTCACAGAAATGGCTTTGCGTTTGTGTGCTGTAAGAAGCTGTTGTTGATATCTGTGAATGTGTGTCACTATTGTGTCTTTTAACAGGAGCAGCATTTGCTATTCAAAATGCTCAAACCGTGTCACTTGACACCCCCACCCCCCAACCTCACACACATATACACACACACACACACACACACACACACACACACACACACACACACATACCTACGTGAATACAGCTACAGTTATTTGCATGGAAAATTTTTGCATTTCATTTCAGCACTCCAGTCTCTGAGTTTGTTATCTGAAGCTGAAATGAAGCTTTGTGTATAGAAAGGTGTAAAGTACTGAATGTTGGCTCTGGATGTGATTAATTCTGATGATTCTTACTCTTGCTTATTTTTTGGATCAGATGTTTCCTGATTAATATAATGATTTTGTGAATTCACACAGTATTTTACTCAGGCAAAGTTCTCCTGCTTTACATTCTTTAATGTAAGAAATTGAAAAAGTTTAATTTAAGCTTTGGTACAGGGGCTGCAACTAACAATTATTTTCACAATTTATTCATATGCTGATTATTTTCTCAACTAGTTAGTTAATCTCTTGGTCTATAAGTTTAAAAAAAACGTCCCAAAGCCTGATGTGTCATCATCAATGTCATTTTTTTTGTCTGTCCATCAGTCACAAATCCCAGGGATATTTAGTTTACAATCACTTAAGATTAGGAACTAGGAAACATCTGGCATTTTTGCTTGAAAAATGAAATGAAAAGATCACTTTGCTGTAGATTAACTAATCAATTAATCGATTAATCGTTTTAGCTTTAATTGGTAGGTAGTTGTATTGGCGCAGGTGCTGAAAACTGTGATACCCAGCCCTAATCATAATATGGCAACTGCATGCAAAATCGCATAAACCAGACACATGAAACATACAAAAAATGTTCAAAGCAATGAGCTGTGTCCCACTTGTGCTTCTCCAAACTTTCTGTGTGAGTAAGACAAAACTTCAGCTCGCCTGTAATCATACGTTTGGACGAAAAGTTGTTGAACAACAGCATGATAAGGTCATATCACCCCAGTATGACTCTGCTGAAACTTGATAAATGCTGTTATTGAATTATCACCCATCACCCATCCCTAATCCATAGCAAAGTGATACTGATCTCACTGTGCTGTGGTGGTAACTGCTGTTTTCATACTGTAAAAAGTTATTTTCCTCTGCATCCGTCCTGCTGGTGTAGAGTCAGACAGTTCGTCACAGCTAATATACAGCCCTAGTCTGGTTTTGTCAGACTTCAGACTTGTTTTATCCATATTTCATTGTGCCAAAGTTGAGTTTTTATTTATTAAACGGTACTTTGGTTCCTGTCAGTCCTCAAACACGCACAGGAATAAAAAAGAGTGTCAGACAGAAAGCAATCCTTCAACAACATGTCACTTTGCAAACTTTATAGTCACATCTGACTTGTTTAGGCTGTTTTTGTTATCTGAGGCAGCCGTTAGTTTCAAGCTAGATTTGACACTGTTTATATATATATATATATATATATATATATGTATATATAAACATAAAATATAGGAAAAGTGTATCAAAGTAAATGATCTGTAACTTTAAATTAAATGACACCAGTATTCTTGTTTCCTTGTTAGTTGTGTTGGAAAGTGGTTATTAGGTAGCCTACATAAAGACTCGGATGGCCATAATACAAATCTTCATTAAGCTACTGCCTGAAATATTGACAAGCCAGAACAAACCTGTCATCCTCTAGTAATTCACTTCACTTTAGCTCTACTATATAGTCAACTAGTCGGCCACTTCCATGTCCTGGGATAATAGACATTTCAACATATGGACTTTGCTGTCATATGTTTTTATATCGTATGTCATGTCTTGTTTTGTGTTTGCGACATATAAATTGAGCCGTCCAGGATATTTTTCTGCTTATTAAACCACCTTCAGACAACAGTGATGTAAGTTTATTGCATGTCACACTGTGTGAAATGTGGCTGATAAAGTCTTATCAGTTTAAGGCATGTGTTGATTGAACTATGGTTAATTATAGCACTACAATGTACGCCGCTTGTGTCATCCATCTTATGCTTTAAAGATGCTGGTTTTGTTTTTGAGACTTTGCTAAAGTCACATGACTGTTTTTTTTTCCTTTTGCCTCCAACATCTTGGTGTGTGTGCATATGTATGTTTATGTGTGTTTTTATTCCCAAGTTTCATTGAAAAATGGCCAGTAATACATGTTGCTGGTGTATTCTGCGTCGTTTCATGTCGTATTCTGATTGATTGTAGCAGCGGTCACACTGTGAGAACTTGTTCCTAAATTTCTGACACTCTCTGAATTTTGCCACAGGCTGTCTTTGGCTGCCAAAATCAGCCCTCAGTGGACGTGTCTCACAGTGTGATGCAGGACCACTGCTTTTCATTGATAACCGCAGATTTCACACTATTTTTCTCAGAAATAAAGTAAAGTTGCCTGTAGACAAAGCATGGTGGGAGAGCGCTCATGATTTGGTGATTTGGTTGGTGTTGAGGATGGATAGATAAACAGGTGGATGGACTTGTGTGTCTCCTCAGGTTGTGCCTGCTCTTCTTTATTGTACTTTTCAACATTTCAGTTTTCCATGATGCCTTTTGGAACCTGGGGCTCTTTGCTGTTTTTCAGTAGGGCCTCAATCACACAGGTTTTCTGAGGCCTAAAGCGATATCAGTATTTGAGAGTTTGAAAAAATGACAAATGATATTATTATTATTTTTAACATTAATGCATAACATAAATGAACTTTTCTGATAAGGGCACTTTAAAGCCCAATTGTGAACCAGAAATGTTCTGAAAGGCACATTTTATGGTGGAAAAATTGACCAACCATGTAATCACAACACTGTTTCTAAGGCCCTTTCCACATGGTAATTTTGAAAACGCTGCTGTTTCTATATGCGTTTTCCTCCACATGCAAACTCCATTTCAGGTCACTGAAAACAGACCTGTTGTAAAAGTCCGGCCACTCTGTTGTTTTCAGTGTTGTCATGTAGACGGGGAAAACAGAGTTCTTGGCTCGTAAGCTTGCCTGTAACATCATTGTCATGTTGTAACCAGAGCCGGTGATACCTTTTTAACCTTATTGTTTTCGGGTTGTCCGTTCATCCGTTCTATTCCCGTGGACACAATATCTCAGTAATGCCTTCACAGAACGTCTTCAAATTTGGCACAAACATTCACTAGGGCTCAAGAACGAACTGATTGTATTTTGGGCATCAGAGGACAAAGGTCAAGGTCACAGTGACTAACTCAAGACTTCACACAGCAATTATGACCAAATTTCACACAAATGGTTAATATTTTATATGATTCTGGATAAACAGGGATGTGACCTGAAATTAGTCTGAGTGGCGGAGGCAGATAACCGTGTGGTGATAATTCTAGTTTTTCGAGCTTCTGATTGGCCAACATAGCTTGACGATACGGTGATATCGCTGCCTGTCGACTTGACATGCTCTCGACAGCTTGTTTTGCGTTTTC